TATAAGAATACTCGTTTTGGTGGCATTCCTGGATATCAAAGAATGGGGATCTTTGTTTTTGCCAAAAGCCTCTTGCATGAACATCCAGTCTTTTGATTTACTCGACCCAGAGTTCAGCACTTCGCCATTTACTTCTTATAATAATAATATTAAAGAAAGAAGTATACCTACAGCTGTAATACTGGCATACCTCTGTAGGCGCAAGTGCGCGAATTATCGCACTTTGAATTTCATTGTATCGGCCATTTCATAAAATAAGTCCTTTTCAATATATTTATTTTCTTATCCAGACGAAATAACAGATTTCAAAAACCAAATAGAGAAGCTGATGGACGAAAACGAAGAATTGAATAAAAAATTACAAAACAAACACAGCAACATCGGCATTCACGAACAACAAGAACAGTCCCCCGAAACCGACACGTTACGTTCTAAAGTGTCCTCCCTTGAGGCTGAAGTGCAGCACCTTCGCAAAACATCTGATATGAATTTAGAAGAAGAGCTTAAGAAAGCGAAAAATGAACTAAAAACAAAAGAATTGGACTTGTTCAATGTTAATTTTGAGAAAAGTAAGCAGTTGGATAGTGCAATGAGCAAGATATGCGAGTTAGAAAAAGATATCGCGAATTATGCTCGAAAGAATAACGAGTTAAAGGCGGAGATCAGAAGTTTGAGAAATCGAGAAGAACCGACAACAGATCTGATTCACAGAAGGCCACCAAGGTTAGTAAAAGTAATTATTATTTATATAATTAAAAGATTCATTGTTTCGAACTCTGATTGGCTATAACAGCTAATTGTGAAATCCTATCATCTTGATAGCTGACCAAATATTGACTTCTGACATAATATTGACGTCATCGTTGAATACGAAAAAATCTTGTTCAACGTTAGGACGTCATGTACCCTGCGAGCAAAGGGTAATTGCCTTCAAAATAACGTAGAAAAAACCATCCTAACGCAAAACTAAACCCTAATACTAACCTTAACCCCTAACCTAACCCTAACTTATTTAAAAATTGATATAAACGGAAACCTTATTTTGAAGTATACTATCTAGCAATTTCCGCGAGCAAAGTCCTCTCGTATTTCTTCTTGGCACGGAACAGAGAAGCGAGAGAGACTCTGGAGAACTTGTGTATAAATTCATTTGAGCATGCGCGAAGGTTGCTAAGCAACTGCCTATTTCCCAGAAGAAGATTTAATAGGTAGTTTCCGGTTCGGATCAAAACCGGTATCAAACCTGAAAATACGCATAATTATCCAAGTTTTTGGATTGTCTGCTCCACAAAGAATATACACAAGTTATGCAGAGTCCTTCTCCATGCCGAGAAGAAATACTAGAGGACTTTGCTCGCAGGGTCGACGTCATGCTGTGGAGATACGAATATGAAGGAAACACGAGCAAAACAATATGGCACCGCCTTCGGTGGTGTTTACAAGTTTTAAGGAAACAACATTTAGAATTTAATCAAGAAATATCAACATAAACAGCAACGAAAGGTTTTGAAACATTTTAACGTACTCGTGAAAGAAAAAGGAAAGATTTGGGAAAAAGAACTGGTCATTTCGACGAAATAATGAAATCACCAGCTTTGTTTACAAACAATTACTTTCGGTTTTTCCACCATCATAACGAACTTGGAACTTGTTTGTTTTGTTTTGTTTTGTTTTGTTTTGTTTTGTTTTGTTTTGTTTTGTTTGTTTGTTTGTTTTTGGATAGAGAGCAAATATTTTGGGTTAGAATTTTGAGAAATAGCCGACGATTGTCTACACGCGCAAAAACGCACAGCTTGTAACAAGTCTGTAAATAAGTTTGTTCACAAGTTGTCTTCGCACTGCTTGTCCCAGTTTGTTGTACTAAAAAGTTTGACTGTTAACAACTTGTAACAAGCTTGATGGCATTATCAGTGCTAACAAGTTTGTTACAGCTATGATATAACAAGGATGTTACAAGGTTGTAACAATCTTGTTATATCAAGCATGTAACTGACTTGTCAGAACAACCTTGCAACAATTTCGACAAGGTTGTTACAAGTTGTCACCAAGTTGTTCCAAACCTGTTGACAACTTGTGACAAGCAGTGCTAATAAGGGAATAACATAAGTTTTGGAGGGCATATTGTTTATTTTTGGCCCGCGTAGTAAAATTGTTATTGACATTATTATCAATATAGAGGAACAAATAATTATAAATATATAACATAACACCAACACAATATACAATGTAGACAATGACTGCTTTTAACAGTAAAGAAAAACAGTTAACAATGCATTAAAATACAAAAAATATAAACTGCTTTTGTTGTGGTTTTTGCTTGAGCCTTTTTCTCAATCTCGTCAAGAGCTTCTTTATCAAGGTCAGAGCATTTTTATATAGCATTTTGCAACAATAAACTCCTAGTGTATGATATACTAGGTCTAATATAAACTCTAAAGTCAAATGATGTTTTACTGTTCTTTTTCAGCTCATCAAGCGGCGAAAATGTCGGTGTTGTGGGTAGTGTAGCATTGTTCACACTGAATGCGAGAGTTGAGAAACTGACCGATGAAAAGAAGCAGCTTCAAAATAAGTCTGATGCGTTGCAGAAGGAAATTGATAAACTTTCTATCATCAACTTGGATCTGAAGTAAGTGCAAAGTATACAAGCTAATCCGCATTTTCTCTTTATAAAATATTTAAATAGAGTCAGCGTGCCCCCAGACTATGCAACTTTCTTTTTTCGTTCCCCTGTTGTCCCAAACTGACCTAGATTCAGCTCCATCATTTTTTTTTAAATAATAATATTAGTTTTATTTGGTTTGTCACATACTATCATGTCATTAAAGTGGAACTCAAGTCCGTAATGTATACAAACGGTTTGTTTAAATTTTATATTGCTGTATTTTTTAAATATGATGTACTGTCTGAATATCTAACACCATTTTGGTTCGCTATGCTTCTAAATGAATATGAAATAGAGTTTATGTTCAGAAAAATTCGAAACATTCGAAATTTAGGCAATTTTCACATTAGAGGTTCTCACA